CCTCCTTAAGGGAATTTTTTTCCTCTTAAGGAAAGTTATAATAACTTTTTATAATAAAAATTCCTTAAGGAAACTGATTTCCTTAAGGAAGCGCCTTAAGGAAGCTCCTTAAGGGAGCTCCTTAAGAGATTTCTGGGAATTGCTAATACTATAAATACTAATATATCTGGTAACAACGTGGATATTCGTCTCCTTGACAGGGTAGTGGATATGGAGAAACATCTTCAACACATTAAGGACTGATTCCCCTAATTCAACATCTTAAAGAGAATCTTTGTCGCCGTTTTCAAGGAGAAAACACTTCACAGATGGCACCTTTCAAGATTATAGATATGACAAAGTCTAAAAACAGCGCAGTGGAGATTCCGGAGGCGTGGCACTCCGGAGCGCAGTTGAATGCCGGTGACAGGCATCAAGAAGCTCTCCTGGACAGCGAAACTAGGGGGGCATCCACATCGCTACAACTTCAACATAATCGACTAGATGCTAGTGGTAGTGGAGCTGCTTCTTCTTCTAGCAGAGAACAACAACTGACTGGACGTGAAGGAGCATCCTCCAGTAGAGAAGAAAGAGCTCCTGAAGCGGTTAATAGAGGTAGCAGTAGAGGAGCAGGCTCGTCGGTTGCGTCTTCCTCGAGTGCATTTTTATCTTCTTCTGGGAGCTTTTTTCAGCAAAGAACAAGGGTCAAAGAACAACTTCCACGTCCGAGTCGTTTATTGGGTAAAAATGATGGTGCCAAGAAATTGGGTGCGGACCATTTTACTAAAGCAGGAAGTTCTGACGAGGAGCGCAGGCCTGATCTTCAAGTAGGTAAGAAGCTCTGACGGGGAGCGCAGGTCAGAGGGTGGGTCGTCATCAACATAAGTTCGGAAAAAAGCTTCATCGAGATGTGTAAAGTGAAGCTCAAGCTTGATTTAAGAAGACGCCAGTATCTTCTATTGTATTTCTCGAGAACATTCACAGCTGTAAGTCTGAGTTGTGATTCTATTTACTCTATATCTAATTTGTTGGGTCAGAGTCTGGTGGTGCCAAGTAAACTACAGTCTATATACGGTTTTCGTCTTGTACTTTTGTGGTGAAGGTATTTTTATTGCATTCTTTCTTGATATCTAATCTGTTTCTCTACTGGTCTCGTTTGGAATATTGTGCAAATGAATACTCAATGTTGTGAATACAGAGGTGACTTTGAAAAACGTACACTTTTTTGAAATTTTGCTCAGCAGGTTAGTTATAAATTGAAATATTTTGCGCAGGTTAAGACATGTTGGAATTGAAATAATCAATTAAAAATACGTTGTTGATGTGAAGAGGGCATGAAGAACTGAGGCATACCACCTGTTTTCGAAGTTTGCAACAGAGCAGCAACATTCAACATAGCAGCGTGTATCATGGGTGAAGGAAGAAAAACGATGCTCCTGTGAGAAAAACTTCATACAGCATTCATAGTACTTATCGTGTCTGGAAATGAAGAAGGCGTCTTGAGATGCAAGCAAAGTTGGAATTCTAGAAACAATTTCATGGTCCTCGTCGTAGGAAATGATCTCACCGAGCAATTGAATGTCGGAACTGAGATGAACGGTCTTTTGTGAAGAGTGCCACAAACTGCCGCTGGACTTTGTACCCAAACCCCTCGATTGGGAACATAAAAGAGCCGTTCCAAGTGTTTCATCTGGGTTGAAGTTTCTAGAAGTCTGTAGTTGAAGTTTCTAGAAGTCTGTAGTTGAAGTTTCTAGAAGTCTGTAGTTGAGACGTGGATCTGAGATAGTATCTTGCTATGAAAGCCGTAAGTCTGTTGAGCCGAACGTCTGTTGAGGGTAGAAGCAAGTCTGCTGAGCGATGTCGAAGTCTCTTGAGATTAGGTACAGAGGTCTGTTGAGATTGGGTACAGAGGTCTGTTGAGTGTTAGCTGTGGTGATACTTCAGAGTGTAGAAGTATGTTGAGATGAGAGATCCAATATATTGCTAGAGACTGCATGATCTTCTGTCTATCTGAGTGACGGCATCTTCTGACTGACGGCATCTTCTGACTGACGGCATCTGTTGACATCCATTATCATTTACCAACATGATCGGACGACAGCTACTCACACATGGTAGAAAAAGTTTACTCCTGTTCTTGTTTCCCCCCTTTTACTCAGTCAAGAAGAAATTTCTTGTGGTCGTAATTCCCCATCTACATACAACTTTCAACAATCTACGATAAGACTGTCTTCTTACAGATAGACACACAAATTATAAGAGAAACTACAAGGCACAAACTCAAATTGTCTTCCTACAACACTTCTCATACAAACTGTTTTCTTCCCCTACAAAAGATCAGTTTGCTCATTTTGCTTTTTGCGGTTCTCCCTTATTGTTCTGTTGTTGAGTATCTTCACATCTAAGCTACGACATAACGAAGTAGACCACTTCCTGTCCTTCTAGAACCAACCTACATAGAGATGTCAGATCCGGCAGAACAAGCGGCTCCACCTGCTGCAGATGCGCCAAGTGCGCCAAATGCAGATGCGCCAAGTGCGCCAGATGCGCCAGATGATGCAGCAAATGCAGCGAAAAAACCGAGCACAGCACTGTTGAAGAACACTCCGGAACAAGATGCCCAAGTCGCCGCTGATCTTGGCAACATGGCACCGTCAAAGAAGTCTGAAGCTCCTCCAGAGGCTCCTCCCGCAAAGAAGTCTGAAGCTCCTCCAGCGGCTCCTCCCGCGAAGAAGTCTGAAGCTCCTCCAGCGGCTCCTCCAGCAAAGAAGTCGGCTCCATTTATGACTCCCGGAAAAATCCCATTTTGAGAAGCATCTTGGGCCTCCCGTGTAAGGGGGAAGCGGGTCCCAGATGCTTTTCAAAGTGGGAGACTCCAGGGCTGTCTAATCCACCTGCCGCAGCAGCTCCGAAAGAAGCAGCTCCGAAAGAAGCAGCTCCGAAAGAAGCAGCTCCGAAAGAAGCAGCTCCGAAAGAAACAGCTCCGAAAGAAGCAGCTCCGAAAGAAGCAGCTGCGAAAAAACCGATGAGCGCTGACAGCTTGTTTAAGCCTACCAAGGACGCCTTCAATGAAGAATGGATGGAATATTTCAAGTCATCCAAGCTACCAGAGGCTTTGCCTATCAAGTTTGGTACTATCAACAGCTACAAAACACATAAGTACTACTACCTCGGTTAGCTTTCCCTCTAAATTCTTTGGGTTTTCCCTACTGGCAAGTCAATTTCAATGCCCGTCTCATCACAACAATTGTGCTCAGGCACTAGAAGATCCAATAGGATGTGGTTATAGTCAACCATTGCGTTGCTGCTGCAAATTTAGATGGACTATAGTGCTTTTACCTATCTTCTTGCCCTTATTCGTGCTCTTATATATGTTCCAGGGCGCGGGGCGACGCCCCCCCCCTAGCGGGTGGGGCGGGCGCCCTGGACCCCTTTTCAAGGCTTCTGCCGGCAGGGGGAAGGCCTCAAAAGGGGGCCCAGTGACCTCCCCCCTCCGCTTCCTTCCAGCTGCCTGGGTGTTCCCCAGGGGCCTCCGATGGTGGTGGGAGGCTTCAATAGGGGCCCAAGGGACCGCCTGCGCCCCCGTCCGGGTGCCTGCTTGTGCCCTAAGTGCATCTGTTAGGCTTCGCCGCCGCGGCCGTGCCGCCTGTACCCTCCGGGCCCTTGGTCACCGGCTTGCTCCCTCTTGCGACCGTGGCCGCCTTCGGCGGCCTTTCACCCCGGAGACCTCCCGCCTGCGAGGGTCAGCAGAGGCCAGGAGGCCCCTCAGGAATACGCCGAGAGGCCCAAGGGGAGGCCCGCGCCAAGTTTTGACGCCTTCCGCCACTAGAATCCGCGAAAAATCCGCGCGGAAAAGCGCGCGCGCGCGCCACCAGAGACCCGATCACAGGGGGGGAGGGGGGGCCGGCTGGCCCTGCGTCATTTATTAGGTAGTAAAGTAGTAGGACACCATGATGATACGGGCCTAGCGACGCTCCTCAAAGGGAAAGGAGTAAAGAAAATATTTAGCCATCAGAGCCATTTATTTATTAAATCATTTTAATTTGTTTTCTCCCTGGGCAGGACGAGGTATGTAGGCACAAGATCAACAAGATCGTCGTTCGGTGATTCAATCATCACAGAACGACGAAATCACCGGACGACGATCTTGTTGATCTTGTGCCTACAAGGTAGCACATTCATTTAAATCATTCATTTATGCGGGTTCATTCATTTCGAACCTTCATCATAAAAGAACTGATGTCGACTGTAAAAAAGCTACGCTGTCTATTCTCTTAACCAGCTGCTCACTTTCATCCTTCTGATCATCGTGGATAGGGCATTAGAATCTTAGAATTTTTTTTACCAATGAAGGTAAGCATGAATCGATCTTTCTTATTTCTTTCAACATAAGTACTTACCCGGTTCATTGTTCAACATTTGCATTTCTTTCTTCATCTCATCTTCCATGCAGATCCATCTGGTATTCCCTTGAACATTGCAACACCAGGTATTATCGGGCCAGGAGGCATTAGTTCCAAGTTTGTGCAAGCCGTAAACTTCTCCAACCAAATGTGGAAAGATGCTCTCGCGCTGCCTGCCAAGAAGGATGCATTGAAGATTACCGCTTTCGGCGTCCGCGACTCGTACAACATCTACCAGCTAGCGAGCAAGCAAAAAGCTTATGTGGAATCAAGGAAGGGACAGGAGGATCGGTATACTACTCATTTTATGACTTGATGCATGTTGTATTCTTGGTTGATGATGTGCAATAGCAAGATGTCCTATCCTATTCTATCCTATCCTATCCTATCCTATCCTATTCTATCCTATCCTATCCTATCCTATCCTAATAGCAATATCCTAATAGCAATATCCTAATAGCAATATCCTAATAGCAATATCCTAATAGCAATATCCTAATAGCAATAGCTACATTCTTTTCTTACTTTTTTTTGAATTTTTTGAATAGTTGCTTTAGTTTCTTCTTTTCCAAACCTCTAGAATTCAGTGATTATTGTTACTGGAAGTACGTGCTGAAAGAATAGATATTGATGTGAGAAAACTTGATCGATTTGTTTATTTCAGCATTGAGTTGTTTATTAACATGATTTCTAAGTCGTACTAAAAGGAACCTCCATTATTATTCTTCAACAGTTTCGCCGGCGATGTTGCTGGTCATGAGGCATGGGCTAACGAAGCAGACGCGTGGATGACCGCCACAAAATTGATCGCGTCCAAGAAAGTCGACATTGTCTACATCTCTGCTTCTACCACGGCGAAAAAGGACTACGCCCTAAAGTGCCTAGAGGGCGGCAAGAGCATCATTTAAGGTGGTGGTCAGCTTTTGTTTCTCAAATCTCAGCGACATTTCTATCGTTCTTTCTCAGCGACATTTCGGTCGGTACTGGTACCCTTTTGTAATGGATACTTTAATCTGTTGACACGGTTCTACTCGGACCTACTTTGTCCCAGCAGGTGCGGCTTGGCCGCGAAGCGGTGGACCCTCAACCTTAACCCTAACCATCCCTTGTAATGTATTCTGTACACGAGGACCTCGCGAGTGGGTACTTAGAGTGGATACTTTAAAAATGGTGGCACACCCTTTTGTAATTGAAATGTATACTTAAAATCTGTTTCATCCCTTGACAACACTTCCGGCTTCGTCTTCTTGACCTTTTTCTCCTCCTTCGCTGTCTAAATCACCGTGGAGAAGCCGTTTATGAAGGCGAATGATGTTGCAGAAATTGCCCAGAAGGCGAAGGAGAAGGGGTTGCTCTTCATGGATGGCACGATGTTCGCGCACTCGCCAAGACTGTTGCACCTACGCAAGCACGTTCCGACGAAATACCTCCTGCAGACTGAAGGCTCCTTCACTTAAGGCCGCTGGTTACGTAGATTGGAAATTCATCTTTTAATATAATGAACAAGTTGTAGGGGAGGTGAATTGCAGAGACATAACATCGAACCAGATGCAGAAGTAGTGGCTTGAATAGTCAAAAGTAGTCACTAATCGTACATCAAGGGGAACAGCGTTTAACTATTAATGAAGTTGTAGGGGTAACAAGTAACATCAACATCTTGTCACAAGATGACAAATCAAAATCCTTTTCTTATAGGGGTCGTCCTCTAGAAATCTTCTAATGTACTCTGTATCGTCCGTGGTGTGAGGACACGGCGGCGGGAAAAGCGCACGCAGATTCCCGCGTCGATCCTAAGTTGGAGCCTCATGGTGCTCTCGGAGATTTGGGCTGGTACAACATTCGGTTTGCTCTCTGGGCTTACAACTGGGAATTGCCGGAAACGGTGCACTGCATTCCGACATCGACAAAGGTATGTTGGCAACTAAGTATCTATTTAGACATCGACCAAGGTATGCTGGCAACTAAGTATCTATTTAGACATCGACCAAGGTATGTTGGCAACTAAGTATCTATTGTCTTTAGTGATCATCCTAGTTATAGTTTAGTAGTTGTACACCATTTAGTGAAGAAGATGCAACGACTCATGGTGATGAAGCGACCCATGGTGGGGAAGATCCTCCTAGTCTAGCAGTGTTCATGTTGTAGAAGTCCCTTCAATCAATCGATTATAGCATTAACTAGCAAAAAGACTAGTGACTTGGCTCTAATGATATATTTTTTTGTTTGAAGAGATAGAAAGATCTATCTTGGTCTTCTTCGGTTCAAAACATCATTATAATTCTTTGTTGAAACAAGTCGATTATCGTTATTCTTGTTGAAACAAGTCGAATCTTTTGTATCTACGTACTACTTACCTAAGCTTACGAAGAAGATATTTTATTGGTTCTTATCTCTTCTTCTCTAATGCTGTCCGTGAACAACGGAGTGCCGCTTCAAGCCAGCGTGTTTATGTCCTGGGAGAACAAGGATGGCAACGCAAAGCTTCCGCGACGATCTTCCAACTTTACTTAAGGCGACAACTACTCCTGCAAATCAGCATCTTTCAGTAGTCCCAGAAGATGAGATAGTCCTAGTTTACTTTTACCATTGTCTTGTAGAGGAAGAGAAATTTTTGCAAACATATTGGTCCTGTGGCCCTCCCGTTTTTCAATGGGGAATAAAGTGGGGGCCAACTTCTTTCTCCTCCCGTTTTTCAACGGGGAACCATAAACTGTTTCTCAAGGGAAAACGGGGACCAGGACGATACTCACTCAGATAAAACGGGGAATAGACCACGGGGACCAAGACCATGTAAAAGTAAGTTCTAATTTAGCTGCTCGTTTGTCACCGGTGAGGGTCAGCGACAGAGTTTTTTGCTGGGCGACTACGAGGAATTTGACGTCTCTGGTATCGTTTCCACTGATCAGAAGAAGCAGTACTTGGTCGAAGTGGAGGACTTCATCGTGGCGTCGAATCCGGCGATTACCAACCCAACTCCGCAATCGATCAAAAATTATGATTTTCGGTTTTTGTTTTTTCTAGTTAGGTATGCTCCACCAACGTTATTAAGTATGATTGAGTTTGAGTATATTCCTTGAAGTAGAATCCACTTGTTCCTTAATATTCTTCATCCAAGGATGAAGTGGAACAGTAAGCCGCGTTGAAGCCTCTAAGAAAGGACCACATTCGCGTGGGGGCAAGGACCATGGGCGATATTGAAGAAGAGCGAGAACATCACCACCGAAGAAAAGTTTGGTGAAACCAACTGCATGGCCAATTTGCCTGATGTCGTTCTCTGTTATGAAGAAAAACCCCAACAGTACAGTGTACCCCATTTGCGTATTGGTATTGTGCGATGTCAAGTAGAAACACCTCCAACCTGCTATTTGATACGACAACAAATCCAGGAGCATCTAGAAGTACTTGTCTCGAGCGATGAAGACTACTAGATAGACACCAAGAAGAAGTTTCCCTGTCTGTAAAATAAGGGTGAAGACGTGATTGACAACAAGAAGATGCTCTGATGCCTCTGATGTCTTACTGCAGATGGAACATTTAGGTAGATCTTCACAACTAGATCACAACTAGATCACGACTAGATGTAGATTAATGGTATGGACCATCGATAACATTTGTCCCAACATCTACTAGAGGTATGGACCATCGATAACATTTGTCCCAACATCTACTAGAGGTATGGACCATCGAGGAACATTTGTCCCAACATCTACTAGAGGTATGGACCATCGAGGAACATTTGTCCCAACATCTACTAGATGACGACTACTTTTTCGTTCTAATCCTGGGTATCGAACTTCGCGAGAATGCATACGATGAGGGTTCTTGACCCGGAAGAAACCCATACACGCGACTCATTGGCCGATATCGCTTCACAGACACCGACTAAGGACATCACGACCACGCTCACCGTACCAATGTTCTCCAACCACCCGAAGCACTTCCGAAACATCTCCGCGGGAATGAAAGCTGCCAGTTACCAGACTCAATTTTAAGGCACACTCTTGCACTGTGCAGGCGTCGATAAAGAAGAAGATATTTTTGATATAATTAGATTATGTCTTAGACGTACTTAGAAACTTACTCCCAGTAGCCACGTCTCTACGGTCATCGTGACTACTTAGCTACTTGTCCTCAAGCGAGTCAGAAGAGTTGAAACTCCTTCTATTATGTTGTCAGAATTGAATTGTGCAATACTAGGGTTTTGATATGAGGTATACAACATACTAGGGAGTAAAGCTAAGGATTTGTTCTTATTTTTCGGTTTATCAAAAGAACACTAAATTTTTGTGAACCCCCTACTTCCGAGCTTCCTCTTCTAACAACTGGTTTTGGACGCCGCTTGTGAGAGCTTCAAGGATGGGCATGAACGTGTGTACAACAAGAAGGAGAAGAAATACGTGTGCAAGCCTAGGGTCATGGTCACAGGCAATGGCGAAATTGTGCGTACCAAAGAAGACCTGGCTGCGGCGAACCAAGGCTGCAGTTGTACCATCATGTAGCTGGTCAGGTGGTGACCATGGTCAGGTGTGGTGATCATATTCTAGGAGACGACGGAAATTATTAGGAACACTAAAAACAAGTTAAATCGGGATAATCTTCATGGAAAACTTCATGTTGTTGTACAATCATCTAAAGCTGCTAAGAATATACAATCTGGTAGAACTACACAGTCATACTGTCCTCCACATATAATAATATGAATGCCTCGAGGAACCCCAGGAATGTCACGCAAGGCGCGCCTCCCTCCATTCCTGAGGTAGGACGGTTGCCTGCCTGTCTGGTGCACCTCTCTAATAATAATAAAATAATAATAGATATAGAACAGTCATGGAACAACGTACACATCATCCATTTGAGACAAGGAACATCGATCAGCTTGAAAGTGGCAGTATTATCGATTATATCGTTCTTGATACTAGAAAGAGAGAAAAATAGGAAAGAGCTGCTAATCACTTCGCAATATTATACATCCAAGATATTAATCACTTATATCGAATATTACAAGACAGGAGCAATCTGTGATGAGATTGGCCGTGGAACTCGGGAGCCCGATACATCGGTGGCATCTCAGCCAGCTCCTCGAGTAGTACCTGTCCAGAGTTGCCTAGTATTAGGGCCCTCCACATGTAATAATATTAATAATAACTTATCGAATATTCACAGACTAACTAGTATGTACTTATAAATAAGCATGGTAATGATAACCGAAGGAGTATAATGCACGTTCGTAAATTAGGGCAACATGAAGATAATCACGACAAAGATAACGTCAATCATATCAAGCATGCAATAAATGGGTTACTTATGGGAACAAGAGTATTTTGGGTATTGTTTTTTCGCCACTCACACTCTATCTATGACTCTGGGGTAAAAAAGTGGTGATACAAATTTTCATTATGTTGTGTTGATCAAGCAGTTATTGCTCATCTCAATCTTAGTAGTTTATCGCTATCCCATTTGCGAACTGTGCTGACTGAAGTCCCGGTTGATTTAAAGGCCTAAAAAGGGGATCTCACTCAACCAGGGATAGTGAGCGGCTACTTTCAAGATAAGTAACTACTTCTTAAGTTTTAGACCACCGCGCCATAATCATGATGAGTATGACTAGTAAAGTAGGCAGAACAACTACATGTGGCATCTTCCTCCTGCTTAGGCAATCGAACTCGGAAGAGTGTCTTCGATTCATCTACAAGTACTATTTTCGATACAGGGATGATGTAGAGGATCTTACTAGTTTATAGTACATCAGCTCTAATCAGTACCTTGTAGCTCCTATCCCAAGTCGTGCCTTCGCTACGGAGACGAGGGAGATGTTTTTAGTATTTAGTTTTACCTCCACTTGAACTTGATGTAAGTAGCTTGATCAAGCAGACGAAATTTTTAGATGACTGCAATGAAGCAACGAAGAGGAACTTCCTAGGACACGTATAGTCATGAACAAGCTGACTAGAAGAAGCTGACTAGAACGCCTTACAACTCTCAACTTAGTTAGTACAACGATGAATGTACTACAGAAGTTCTTCACAGTTCTTCACGTTGTACATAGACAACGATGAATGTACAGTTCTTCACGTTGTATATAGACGACGATGAATGTACAGTTCTTCACGTTGTACAGCATAGATTGACTATTGCACCAACTAATTAGTGCACCAAGACAGAGAGGACAGAACAACAGCAACTACTCAGGGACTAGTAGTATAGCCGTAAGCGCTCACCGAGTGGTCGCAAGTGAGCAAGCGCTTACCTTTCGTGTCCTACCGATTATTCGAAAACTGAAAATATGCGAGTTAGTGATTGCAATAGGAGAGCTAGCTTTGCAAGGCTGCTGCTCTCATTTCAGTACAACTATCTTCTGCGCTATTAATCTAGAGTCAACATTTACTTGCTTATTTCAGTTTATCGAATATAATTCAGATCGTTCTTCTTGCAAATTGTAAGAGATCATGATACGCGACAGCCTGAAAAATTCGTGCGACGTTGTAGGGGTCATCTAATGAAAAAAAAAACCTTAGCAGACAGTCTCCTACTCATTGGAGAGCTTCTTGAGCACACAAAAACTGCTTGACAAATTGGAATCATGTTCTTCAGAGGCTAGTACAACTGGAAAAGCACAGATGAGAAGCATTTGCGACCACTCGGACGCATGTGGTGCCTTTGAGAAATCAAATTTTTGGAAAGTTCGTTGTGAATCACTTCAAATTTTGAAAGTCCTTCGTGAGTACTAGAGTTGCTGTTGTTGTTTTCTTCGCAGAGCAGGAAGACAAAGAAGCGCACGACCTCTTGTTTAGCAGTTCTTCCAAGACTACTTTTGTTACACCAACAAGAACAGAGACATGTTGAGGAGGTGAGGACGGTGTCTCACAGAGCGGGACGTCAAACCGAAGAATGAGAAATTGTAAGCAAGTTTTGTTGTACAACTACTACTGAAAGAAAAAAGTGTGTTAATTTTTTTTCGAACTATAATTCGTTTCTCCTGTCTCTTTTAAAACCTGTTGTATTTTTGATGATCGATGATCTACAGACGAGGACTTCCGCCAGAAATATTCTGCGGAAGGTTTTTTCCAACATTCATACTCACTGGTAGGTGACGCTGAGTACTAAAGAGGAAGTGGGCTTGTTGTTTTTAAGTACTTGAAAGACAAGGGGTGGTTTGTAGTTTTAGCCTTCATCTTCTAGGTGCTCCTCCAAATTGAAAATTGAACGAACACGTGGAACAAGATCTCTCTGTCTTTTAGTTTCACAAGATGGAGGCCCTTTTCGGTGAGGAGTCATCTTTTCCGGCTGCGGGTAGCAGTTTTATGCCCCAAGTGCCTGCTGCACCTACAACACATTAAGGTTTACCACATTGCATTCTTGACTAAGAAGTAGAGTCCTTGACTTGTTTTTGAGACGGATACGATATTTCAGGGATGCGCTGAAGAATGCAATGGCGAAGGAATCTACCTCTAAACACAGCCCCAAGTGCCGGTGGTGGGCGTTGTGTCCGGGTTAGTACCAGGAAGTAGTGCATTACCACCTCCAGGTGCGCCTCTACCGGCTCCCGGCGGGCAATTGCCAGCACCAGGCGGTGCCTTACCACCTCCAGGAGGACGATTACCAGGACCCACAGGTGCAACGAGCGCATTACCAGTGCCGGGCGCATTACCAGTGCCGGGCGCATTACCAGTGCCTCCAGTTTCAGTTAAGGCTAAAAGTAGTAACTACTAGACAGTTTCATTTCTACATACAAGGCATTTTTCCCTATCATAATTCGTTCCTCCTACTTAGGGTCGCGCTCTCATCCAGGGGGGCCTGTTCCGGGAGGACACTTACCGGCACCAAGGCATTTTTCCCTATTATATTAAACATGTTCCTTCTAGTATTAGGACAATTTTTGGGAGCAAGTAGAGTGAAGAGAACAGCAAGTTGAGTACTCTAATCCTGTTCCGGGAGGACACTTACCGGCTCCGGGAGGACACTTACCGGCACCTGGCAGCGGTTTGCCGACACCAACCAACAGTGCTCAACTAGTGAGTGTACTGCCTGGCAGCGGTTTGCCGACACCAACCAACAACAGCGTAAGAGGAGGCTCATCTTTTTTACCAGTTGTACAAGGCGCACCACCTGCAGGTACTATAGTACAAGAGGAGTCCTCGCAACCTGGAGGTGTACAACACCAGTCACAACAAGCTCCTCCACGGTTCATGCCACAGCCACCTGGTATGCCGCGTAAACCGGGTACCCCTGCGGCTGGGGGCGGATCTATCTTGACACCTCAAGCAGTAGCAGGAGGCACTCAAACCACTACGTCAAGTTCTACCGTCAGTAGTGAAACCAATTCAAAGAATACAAACCCGGGAGGAGGAGGGTTTGCCCCTCCACTAGAACAAGTTGCGCCACCAGGTGCTGTAACATCTTCTGGACAAGTTGCGCCACCAGGTGCTGTGGCATCTTCTGGAGGAGGAGCACCAGTAGTTCCCTCTGTACCTCCCGTGACCTCTGGAGTCGGAGGCGATCCTTTTGATCCTACGAATATGGTATCTGCTGGACAAGGCGTGGGATATGGAGGACAGGCGTCTGGTGGTGTTGGTACTGCCACCTCTAGAGGATCTCATTCTCAAAGGCCGGTGATGACAGATCCGACAGTAAATGCAGCTAGCAATCCTTTTGGACATGGTACTACTGGTGTGCCTCCGACTAGCAGTCCCTTTGAATCGGCAGGAGGAGGAGAAAATCAACAGTCTCAGGCTCAAATTATCCCAGGAGGACAACAAATACCAGGACAAGGGCAGATACCCGGACAGCCGTTTGGGGTTCAGCAGGGCGCTCCACCAGAAATAGTTTCCGGAGTTCAACAAGGCCTACAACAACCCCATCAACCACCACATCACCCACAACCTCCTTCCGCGCAAGCTGGAGGAGGAGGAATGCCACTACAAGAGCTGCAGCAATTTCCGCACCAACCGCAGGTGCCCGGAGGTCCTTTTCCTCCCCAACCAGCGCCTCCACCGCATCACACTCCACCTCCAGTTGCGAGTGTTGATACTACAACAACTACAGCACAACTTGTTTCATCTGCAAATACGGCGCTGCTTCCCGGAAAGGCAGAGGACCCTTCTCGCGGGACACGGCCAGGAGTACCTGCAGCTTTCGGCTTTGGAGGTCAGCTCTTTACCCGCTCTGGTGGTGGTGTCAAGGAATACCAGTTGGGGAAGACCTTTCTTCGCAAGACAGTACCGAAACTCTATACTAGCGTGGAAGACTATCCAGGCCCTTTGGGGCAAACCAACAAGGAAACAACAGCGAAATTGATGGAGTACGTAAGAGATCAAGCGGGCCCAGTGGAAGTGATCGTGCAGGAAATGATGTCATCTACGACGGTCGGGACCAATACTAATGCTAATACTAGCACCTGTACTAGTACCAAGAAGGGTACCTACTCCACCAAAGCGCTGTGGTTGTACCTATCAGGGCTACTAGAGACTCAAGGCCGCTTGCTGGAGGCTGCCGAGAAGTTCACGAGTGTGTTCCGAGACCAAATGTTGGAGAAACTACAGGTATTGACGTTGGAATCTACAAAAAAAACCGTACCACCTACATTCATAAGTCTAAGTATGCCTAGTGCTGCTCTACTAGATGTACTGTTTAGTCATCAGTCATCATCACAAATATACCTATGTATAATGTATGGAATCTAGTTAGGGTGTGCTCCACCGATAATGTATGTAAAAATGTTCTCACGAATGATAAACTCCACAGGATCAACAACAGCTATCATCGCTTCAAAAATTTGCGAGGCTTTTAGCATTCGGAGGGTATCAGGGTGCCTTGGAACTTGCGGCCACGGAACAGCTGTGGACTCACGCTCTCTTAGTAGCGCCTATGGTGTCGGCTGAGGTACTAGAGTGAAATTATTATCTTGAGCAGAAGTCTGGTACTGTGCAGGTGGGTGTACTTGGAGAAGTAGATAATTGTAGTTCATGAGAGCAGAAGTCTGGTACTGTGCAGGGTGTACTTGGAGAAGTAGATAATTGTAGTTCATGATTTTTAACTAGGAGGTTGTGTTCTAGAAAAACGAAAAATAGCAGGAGATAACTAGGAGGTTGTCTTCTAGAAAAACGAAACTGTTAAACAGGAGAGCCTGAAGAACAACATAAGCATCAACAAGCGTGATCCGATCACCAGTTGTAGACGGAGAAATATTAGCGACCACCTGGGGAGGATCTTCCCCTTCATGGTGGAGGCTGTTTCTCAAATTTGCACGGTTTCTGTGCGTGAAACTCGCCATCAGCACGGTCCTACAATCACACACACTCTTATTCCTCCCCACAAGAACCAATCACACCACAGGCCTACAACCATACGGTGAGTCTGTTCTGCCAGGGATTGCAGATGAGTGGTGATGGGGGTCCCAAAACGTCGCCTCCCAAAACGAACACTGAACCAGGAGACATGAACGATCCTTTCGTGATTGCTTTATTCGCCATCTATGAGGTAGTGGCTGCGTCTTCAATTAAGGCTCAACTTTTAGATTGGTGTCACCACTTAGGTTGGAGGGTCACTGACACCGAAGAGTAGACCCCCTGAGAGAACAGGGGAAAACTAAGGGAAAACAAGGAGAGAGGGAAAACTAAAGGGAAAACCTTCCCGTTCAGAATCAGTGACCACTTCTGAGTGTCGACCTTTAATTCGCGCAGTATGTCGCAAGGTCCTGGCGCAGCTCAACAGGGTCCTCCGGATGGCAACACCAACAGCGGTGCCTCGTCTACTTCGGCTATCCAAGAGGTTGTATCCGGTTGCCTAAAACGATTAGAAGAGCTACGCGGAAGTCCAGCTTTGATGACCGCAAGTCATGTTAAGGCTCCTTTAGCACAAAATTGCTTCATCATAGATATGAATTTCATTCTTAGATCATGTTGACGTGTCTTATTGTTCATTCTCATAAATGAGGTGTCTTCGTATAGTGCTTCGTATTAGCAGGCTCGACTCCTTTTTCAAGGGAAAGAGACGTGGTCAGGACGAGTAGAAGACTCCTGTTTCTTCACAAGATGGAGATGAATACCAAAAATACTTAGGTACTATCCTCTATGGGAACGAATCATGGGTCCTCGTAAGGTCTTCTAATCGCGATACTTTGTATCTCACGTTTCTCTCTGTCTCGCTGTTGCGATCCAAATATAAGGGCGTTTTAGAGACCGTGTTATGTCGAATAGCGAGTCACTTGGGGTTGGAGTTGGACGACGCTCCGATGGCCCATCTGAACTACCTCTTTGCCGCGGCGCACTCACCGGCAGGACCGAAAGGAACATTAAGGCCGCTTGATACAAGTCATTTCCGAGAGCTTCTGTATCTGTGTGTTTGTTTCCTGTGGGATTCTGAAGAAATGACTTCCCTCTGTTGACTTCCTTCATCTTGGGACTCCTGCTCTGAAGAAATACTTACTACTTCTAATAAGGGAACAAGAAGTGTAAGTGTAAGTGAATTGTTTTGAGTGCTACCTCTAAGAACAACAAATTTGCTGCAGCCTTTAGACCATCCGAGTAGTCGAATGGGGCTTCTCGGTGTCGAGCACAAACGAACTGAAAACTTCGCCAGACTGTTGGAGTTTCAGCCACTGCAGTTGTCCGAAATCTTGGAATATGCCATACGATTGGAAAACGCTCAGAATTATGACTGAAGTTGTATGTTGTTTTAATAGTTTTGCTTTTGAACTTTGTTGTGTTACAGATTTGCTTTTCTTGTAGGTAGTTCTAGTGTTTAGATATTTTGTTCTTGTACTGCTGCTCTAGGTGGTGAATGCTTGCTAGTGCTGTTTTGTTGCACTCCTCATACTCTGGATGATCGCCTTACCTTTTGTTCAATGAATGGAGGTTTATTACAACGTGCTCGTTATTAACAGTTCAAGTGTTCTGTTGAATGATGACTGTATAGGTCAACAATAGGCATAGCGGAAGACGCTAACCGCTTCTCCTTCTAATCTCTTCTCCTCTTCTCGATCCAGCCGTTCAAACTGGCTTATGCGATTTCGTTATCGGATATGGGCCTCAACGTCACCGCCAATCGGTACCTCACTCTGCTGAATGACTTCAAGAAAGCGGTGCCTGCATCCAAGTATTCAGACGCTTTCCGCACTCTCAATCGGGAATTCAAAGAACGACTCAACTTAAGGCTTCCCCTAATCGTCCATCTTCTGATTCAGAAGTTCTGAAGCATCCTGAAGCTGCTGCCCCACAAGGGGGAAGGAGCATCAGCATGCATCTTGAGTTAGTATTTCATCTCCCGGCTTTTTTCTTCTTAATCTAATGGTAGTAGTAGCTGCGTCTGCGGCAATTGTCTTTATACCTTCTTAATCTTGTATTAAGATAGGGAGAAGCCCGTAGGCAAAGGCATCAAGAAAGAAATGCTACTTTGAGCTCTAATCAATGCCGAATCCGGAGGGGCTCTTTCGCGCACAAGCAGTGCGCCAGACAAGCCAGGAGGTTCGTTGTTTGGCGGTGGTGGCATCTTCAACAAAGTCCTAGAGACTACAGGCTTGAAAACGAAGCCACTGGGAGAACCAAGTCTACCCGCCACCGGTATGCAGCCAGGAAACAATACCAACGGTGCTGGTAGTATGCCTATAGTACCAAGTACTGCTGCTTCTACCACGACTGCTTTTACTATGATTAAGGCTACATCAAGAAATCCATCTTCCCCAGCATCTTGGGCCGCCCATTTTTCAACAGGGAACTAACGGCTCCTCAAGATGCTGCTGAAGATGGAACTCGCTTGATTCTTCTAATATGAATAATACCTCCACGAGGACTTCCACTGCTACGACTGGTGCACCCAAGGATGCGATGAGCAACATGTTCCAACCAACTCCGCCAGGTGGAACCCACTCCGCTAAAGGAGGTGGCACGATGAATGGAGCACCAGCACCTCTCCCACCAGCTTCAACGCAGCAGCAGCAACAACAACCTAATCCTAGCCCAAGGATTGTGAATCATACTATGCCTGTACAACAACTAGGAACAACTACAACATTACCACCAACTGCAGGTGGATCTTTAGTGACGCCTCATCCGCCAGGTCCTGGAGCATCGCAAGGAGGGTACCAACCTCCAACGCGGGTCACTCCGAAAATTACGTACTCCCAATTTGATTCATTTCTACAAGTCAACATTTCTCAACACTGTCTGGGTCCCTCTGAGGAAGATGAGAAAAGGGAAGCAAGAAATGAATGCTTCTGCGCTTATCTAAGAAAATGCCAGTGGCGACAGCATCGCCTTTTGGAGATGGTCAGACCGTAGTGCCTCCAGCTGCAGGGACCACATTAGCTTCAGGCTATCATGGCATGCAGCAGGGTGGACCACCGGCTTATCCTGGAGCAGGCACCACAAATATGCAGCCACCACCATCTTCTGCGCAACATCATCATGTTCCAAATAACAGCTATAATCAGCCACCCCATCTTCAAGCGAATACCAGCATGTATCCACCTCCACCAGGCCAATCGAACTTTGGCGGTCCTCCACTTCCGACACCAGGAGCTGCAAATGGGTATCAGCAGGGTGGTCATATTCCGGCTCCTCCAGCTGCATCCTATCCTCCAGCACCTCCCACCAATCATATGTACAGCAATCACGTTGACAGCAACATGATGTACAACCCACATCAACAAGCAAACGGAACATCCATGTATAGTGGAGGTGGTCAGCACACTGCCAATCCAGGAAGCAATATTAATTAAGGCCAATCCTCTTGGATAAATACTACAATTCATCTTCGTTCTCAAAGCCAATTTTGTACATTCTTAGGAGTATGTAGGTGGGCATGGGAGTAGAACATGACTTCCAACAGCGTGTCCGCTGGGCTATTTAGAAATTTAGAAGAGGTCAACGTCTACTACAAGAATACCATGAGATCACTTACCACCTGGGTTTACAACTTTCAATATATATTTAGAAGAGGCAGCACATCAATCAATCAATCAATCTCTAAGATAATATGTACAACAGCGACAGAAATGGCGCATTTTCAGAAAGTCCCGGGTTCGGTTTGAACTCTGAAGGTCCGGGTATGGGGAATGGACGCGGGAAAGGCCAAGACTTCGATGACCCTTTGGTTAACGCAGGCAAATTCCTGTGGAGTGGAATCACGGGAGCGGTACCATCCAATTTTGATTTTCTACTTGAACTAGTTAGTATTAAGGACGTTGACGTAGTATTGCTATCACCATTTGCATTCTCACGCTTACAACTTATCACGCTATCATTACCACCCCGTTATTTGGATGGGACTTGAATTGGACGAGTGGTCCGAACTCAACACATACGCATTGCTCATATACAACACAGGTAAAATCCGCGAAAAGTACAGTCCAGAGTGCGTTGCAGGAGAATCAAGGTGGTGGCGGAGGAGGAGTGCCACAACCGGTTACCGCGGATAATGAATTCTACTATGACCAGGTGACCAAACGATGGGTTAGACGAGGACAAGAACAGGTACCATTTTCTTTGGTAAGACGAGGAAGACAAAAACAGGTATTGGGTCTATACTTTTTTTTGTATTCACCGTACATCTCCGTTTTTGTTCCGAGATAGGCTCTTCTCAGTTTGGTACTAGGTGTGTGTATCTCTCGACCAGGAAATGAATCTATTTGAAACAAGATAAAATCAAAATTCTTTGGATTATGACAATTTCCCCTTTTGTTTCATGTCTGCAAAACTAAACAGGCCTGTCTCTTCAGCAGGAAATGAATTCATTTAAAGTGAGATAAAATCAAAACTTTTCTGAAATACAACAATTTCATTAAGTTTTGTCATGTTTTGAAAATTGAAGATGCATGTGCGTCTACCAGAAAATGAATTACTTGAGAGTGGGATAAAATCTAAATTTTTCATGTCGTTAATTTTGAGTATGTCTATCTTTCTCAGGTTATGAATTTACTTAAGATAATCAAAGTTTTTTGCAGCGTTACAAGAGTTTCAACGACAATTTCCAATCCGCTGGACACAGGCATCTCTCCAGTCCGCTGAGCTTTACGACCCGAATACTGGGCGCCTGAAGCAGGAAGCTCCTGAGAATATCGCGCCACCGCCGACGGTGGGTCAATTATGGCCTAAGAAGTTTCCTGTGTCAGCAGGCATAATGTTTCTTGAGCTTAGCGCGCGCGCGCGGCTTAAATAAAACATCTGGGATCTACGGTGTTCATCTCCGAGCCCTTTTTTTACAGTACAGTGGTTCCTTTCTGAGAAAAATCGAGAAAGTAACGACCTTGATAGACTACTATTATAGGAGGTGCCATCTACATCTTCTAACTCAGATGGGTGCGTATCAGCAAAATGCGATGCCGCAGATGAGGACGCAAGGGCGTTACGTGGATGTACTGGGGTCTACGGGGAGAGGAAACGCTTTTAGGTAGGACATCTGGTTCTAGTACTCTCCACAAGTTATACTTCTCCTGTTGCTGTTCGTCGGTACAAAATAGTACTAGAACATAGCATAGAAGAAGATACTATAAGTAGTGATCAATTGATAATGCTCAGGTCGTCAAAGCAGATGTATTAATGTTCTGGTCAATGTATTGATTTTCACCGTGTTGATTCGTGTTTTTTCAGTAATCTCAGATCCAAGTCGTGAAATACGTAAGATTTCTACTACTTTGAGAATACAAAACGTCGTCTAGATCAATAATTCAGTTTCTTGTGACAAAAATTGTATCCTTAAATATTTTTAGAGGTTCACAGCCCCATTGGAAGTCACGATATGTCTCTCATTGACCTCTACCTCTCCTCATGATAGACGATCATAAACTACAAGCAGACCACTAGTATCATACCCCGATTTGATACAGCAATGAACCCAGATCCCCACTGACCCGATGTTTTGTGTACCCCGTCGAGGGAGGAGGAGGCTTCTTTTTCTAGCTACTAGAAGTTCTAACTTCTATTTGAAGCTTGTCGACAGGAGAACAACTACTGTTGTTGCGTCGACTAAGCACAAATGTGTCGTGCTGATGATCCTCAGCTGCTCCATTGATGTAAGAAAAGGTTCAGCGGTCTTGCGATGAACTGCTTTCAGAGGTCGCAAGATAAAAAGAGGACAGTCTCTCTACCCATAATTTATTCTTGAAATCGAGAAGTCTTAAACTGTCGTAGCATCCCTCCTTTCCCGTACTACCAATGGTTGTTCGATGGTCCGTCTCCAGAACGGACCAAATTCGCATTCAGACACACGAGAAACAAAAGAGTTCCAAGTCTCTGTTCCGCTCTTCGAGAACTGAAACGTACAGTTCAGGGAGTTCTTGGTGCTGATATTGCTGTCGTCAGAATCCTCTACAAAACTTTTCTGCAGAAAGAAAACTCGATCCATCCTCAGGACGTTCGAGACAAAGTTCTTCTTCGTGTGTTGTGGACGAATAGAAAGGCAAGAACAGGATGAACAAGTGTGACAAACAAGTGATGCGTTTTTTGGTCTCAAGCCGTCTTTCCTGCAGTTGCTCCTACAATAAAAACGTGTTTATCATAATTGTTACGAATATGTGTGCTTAGTTCATAAACCTCTCTACTCAAAATAAAGATGGCGCCGCAGGCGTCGTGAGTCAATAAAAAGATGTCACCATTCAGGAAGCCTTCGGACGCAAATTTCCAAAAAGAAGATTCGCAAAAAGGTTCGATGGCGCGAAAGGTACGGATGCGACATATCGGTTTCGAAAAACAGACCGATTGACTTTCCCCGTTTCGCGAGAACGCACGCTTCGCTTCCGCGTGAACGGCTCCAGTGGACGCCCGCTTCCGTGGTCAAACTCAAAAAAATGAACGCTTCCGTTTGATTGTAACACTACAGTCAGTCGTGCTGGTGCAACTGCTGCTGGATTCGGTAGGACTTGGAACCAGGCAGCCCTTTGTGCTGGAACCGTTTTGTTTCGGCAGGACTTGGGGCTAACAGCTTCCAGAGACGCTTGCACAATAACCGAGCGGCGATAATCGAGCGGCTCCGCGACGCTTCGCAGTAGAATACGATCTAAAGGAGCAAGCGCAGTTTCATCGCTTTTCGGAACGACCGATTCGCGCCAGCACAAATCGCTTCTCCTGTCTCGACGGACGTGTTTCCCTTATCTGTCATCGGAATCCCTTGAAGTAGCTAGTATGTATGTATTTAATAGCACGTTGCAGTTCACCAACATTCCCGATCAATAGAGCCCACATCATTTGTGGGCTCTCCTTCGATCAGTAGTGCTCACTTTGAAGTAGCTAGTAGGTGGACTTCCTCACGAACCCCTACTGATCGGACTTCTCCCCTCTCTTCCCCTCCCCTCTCCTCCCATCCCGTTGCCCGTCCCCGAGCCCCCGACCACGCTGACTCGTTCTTATAGTATTTACTCGAAAACTACTCAAAATATGCGAGTTCTTGCTGACTGAAATAATAGAGGCACTACGTTGCTCTTCTTTCAGTATCTCGCTTATTTTAAGTAGTTACTCGTGATTATTTCAGTTTATCGAGTAGTTATGTCGAGTTGCCGGCTTCTTCTGTGCACCTGAGATCTACTTCCGCGTTCTGGTTGAGTGGTCAGCATGAGCTCTGACTGAGTTGTCTCACCGTCAAGAGTGGCAGCACATCCCTCAGAAAAGAGAAGTTGGAGTTGTTTGCGGACCGAGTTGTGTCTCAAAATGTTGCCTCCACTGGAACCTCTAATTTGATTCTCGATCTTGATCATTCGTATCATAGAAATTTCTCTTGTAGTTGGAAGATGAGAAAAGGCGTGGGAAGATGATCTGAAACACCAATATGAAGATCATCCCCTGAGCATATTCCACTTTGTCCTCCACAGAATAAATGTACTATTCTACTAGAAGAAGTAGGTCGCAGGAACAGGAGGATTACAAAAATTACTCGTCATCTCAGACGACCTTGTAAAAGACTGAGTAGAAGAGGACATGATGTTGTGTCCTATCAGAAGATCGTTCTGCATCAAGCTATACAGGATAGACTTAATGGAAATACTGGATAGTTGACAGAAGGAATAATCGATGAGCACGAAGACCACTCCTGCTATCTGATAGACACGCCGCGACAAGTGAGAATATCGCAAGTAAAACAAGAACGCTGTGATATCTTATCATACTTAGACTTAATGGCGCCACGTTTGAACAAGTTCTTGTCGGTTCGATCAAAATCAATAACGCTCTTCTGTCCTACTTCTATCCAAATATTATAGTAGAATCACGTGGTCGTGGAGACGAGTAAGAGCGAAAAAGCCTTCATCGTCCCCGAAAAAGTCTTGGATCATTTCCACTTTCTTTCACATCATCTTCAGCACGTTAGTCATTCATTTCAGCATAGTCTCTACTATCTCAGACGCTTGTTCCAGGTGATCGGTGTGTAAGCGTGATGATGACCGCATCGTCCGTGTTTTAATGATTTATAATTAATTCCGTTAATGAAAGACTTGTTTTAAGAATTTAGTAATTATGAAGAATTCTTGGGGATGGGGAAGAGATTGATTGAAAATGTTGTGATCTTCTCTTCATGATGAGTGGTCACTTTGATGAGAAGTGTTACAGCATAACGTACATTCATGTGCATGAAGACGGAACAAAAAGAACATGGCGCAATTAGTGGTCGAACTCCGTAACTGCCGGTTATTCAAAAACGATCGCGTTCGCAGCTAGGATTCCTGTAGTTAGGATCATTCCCGACTAATCACGACTGATCATCCGCGACTAAGGACCCGTAGGACTGCTTTCGGATGATAAAACGCTTTTCCTATCGAGGATTTCGGCTTCGTGTACCATTTCTTGAATGCTGCTGGACTGGGGAACTCCAACGACCGCACAGGACTTGCTGCAAGACAGACGACTGCTAGCGATCTCGATCTCATGACCCAACAAGGAATAGGAGGAGACCTTAACACACTATAGTAAAAATTTGGAGGAACACCAGGATTAATAAATGTGTATTCACGTAATACTATTTGGTACTTGTCTATTAACGAGGACAAGTAGACTGCTACGCCTGTCGTGACATGATATTAGGTCAGCAAAAAGAAATGTTTTGTACGAAATGCTGGTTTCTTAAATGCTAGTTTCTTCGCATTATAGATTTTTTTACATCAAAAAGAACAGTCGCATGTTCGATACGCAAGCGGATTTTGCATAAGATAAAGTACAAGTATTGCACAATAATTGATTACACCATACTAGTACGTAGCAGGATAAAAGTAAAGACGAAGAAACAAAATGGCTCCTGGTGAAGAACCGACGACTAACACTACCATGGCGACTTCTACTGGTGCATCGAAGACTAACACTACCATGGCGCCCGGTGAGTCGACGTTTTTGCAGCTGAGTAGCATCGAGGGAACCCTTGATGAGACTCTGGATTTGCTCTGTGATTTCGACAATGTTGTCGCAGCGGCTTCAGATGTGGAGGCACCCTCAGCCGCGGCTTCAGACGTCGCAATATTACCCTCAGAAGAAGTGGCCCATCGGCAAGAGCAAGGTGAAGGTGTTGGTGCTGTGGCTCTAGAAGGAGGTCTCGTTGAGGAATCGGCGATGAATGTTGAACACAGTTGTACTAGACGAGGACAAGTCCAAGCACCTCAAGAACAGCATACAACCAAATCCAGAACCTCCGGACGCAGCACTCCAAGTTCTGCTTTCGAAGCTCTCCCTCCGCTAGTCGAAGAGATAAACAGCGTACTAGCGGAGAAGGCTGGCGACTATGATGTGGACCCTGAAGCTACAGGGGAAGATACGGATGACGACGAATTCGATGATGAGGATGAATTTGAAGAGGGTACTACTTATTGATTCGTATTCACGTTCAATGTTAACAAAATTTCGCTCTTCTTCGCTCTCAATCATCCTTGTTCAATGGGAAGTTTTTTTTGGGGTGTGTACTTAGTAGAATCTACAATCACTTGCAAGAAATGGTCACCATCCCACCTCAGATAACGAGCTATCTCACCATGATGAGATAAACTACGAGGAGATTATGCCAGTCGCTTCTGCAGAGATGCTGCCAGTCGCTTCTTCGATATGCTCTCAGAACAACACTACAAGGGAACAAGTCTGCGCTGCAGGAAGCAACGCTGCAGATGCTCCTGGCACCCTGCATGTAACTTCTCTGTTGGACAGTATCAATGCCTTTATTACGACTGAAGGTAGTACGAGCATGACCGGACCACCTGGGACTAATTGCACAACTACTACTTGTTGTGACGACAAGGACAACAAATCAACCCTAGTAAATGCTGGTGGTGCCCCTCCTCCGACTTCAACATCTGGATGCTACAAGACTTTCAATTCATCTAGCAGTGGAGCGGCAACAGGCTCTAGTTCATCTTCTCGTGTTTGGACCTTGCCGGATCCACCAAACCTTTCTACATTACAAGGTGGTGGTGAAGACAGTAGCAGTAGAGAACTTCCATACCACGATACACCACAGCATCTCCTCCCATACCACGATACATCAAGTTCGAGGATTCACCATCACGACCATGCAGGTTCTTCTCGCGTTTCTAAAAATAATAGTTTTGAAGAGCTGCAGTTGGAACAACAAGCACAAGTAGAAGTAGATGATTATGAGGAAGAGTATCAGATTAGGTCGGTCCCAGCTGTACTTTTATCTAGGGAGCTAAGGGGTGATCATTCATCTTCCGCGAGCAGAATTAGAGGTGGACCTGGAGGACCACATTCTCATGGACCTTATCAACAAGGAGGAGCAAGTCAACATGCAGGAGGAGGTTATCAAGGAAGACCACATCCTTCTCAACATGGACTACATGGAGGACCTTCTCAACATGGGCAGCATGGAGGACCTTCTCAACATGGGCAGCATGGAGGACCTTCTCAACATGGGCAGCATGGAGGACCTTCTCAACATGGGCAGCATGGGCATATTAGAGATCATCATCATGAGCGACACTATCACGGTCTTCGAGACCATGTTGATAGTCAACACGAGCAAGATCACCAGCACTATGAGCAACATCATTATGGAACGAGCAGGGGTCCTAGAGGACGAGGAGAGCGCGATCTTTACTACCACGGACAACATGGACATCAACATGGAGGAGCTCCATATGCTGGAGGGCACGGACATCACGGACAAGCATATGGAGGAGGACACCACAACTATCCGGCACATGATCATCATCAAAATTCTTTCCAACATGGGGACCAACATGAACGTTCGTATGGGACGAGGAGAGAGGAACACTCGTCCACCAACTATCATGGCGTAGGAGGTGGGGACCAACATTCGTCCAACACCTATCATGGCGTAGGAGGTGACAAAAATTATCGGCCACCACATTCTGAAGAGCAACGGACACATTCTGAGGAGGATCAGCGTGCTTTGGCTGCCATTCTAGATGCAGCGGGAGAGCAGTTCTTTCAAGATGACAAAAAGGAGCCACAACAAAAACAGGATGCCAGTAATGCCTGTAAAAATGTTGATTCAAGAACAGAGGAACTAGTTGTAGATGAACAAGGAGGTGGAAATAAACCTCCCATCAGACGAGGTTACTACACTGAAGACATGATGAAGACGCATGAATTGCTACTGCCGAAGAAGCCTGAAGCTGCCGCTCTCGAACGACTCGGAATTGACGCTGTAGCGGACAAACTCCGAAGCACGACTTCGGTTGGGGATAATTCTGCAGGTGCAGAATTTTCTCTGCTCCTAGAGGAGAAAGTGGAGCACTTGGAGGGAGACGCCATGCGCAGATTGAGGATTCAGGGAGGTACTTACTACATTTAAGTACTTACTCGAAAACTGAAAATAACCGAGTTACTGACTGAAATAAGGGAGGTAGCTTAGCACCAAGGCTACTCTTCCTTCTCGTCAGCATCTCGTTTATTCTAAGTAGTTACTCGCTTATTTCAGTTTTTCGAATAGATGATTATATACTGACATCGTAAGACTACTATATAGCATCTATTGTCTTCTTCCCATGATCGTCCCTTGTGTTTCTGAATATCTCGATGTTCTTGCACTATCTCAGCTTGTGATATCTCAAAAGGGCCAACACGCTAGTGATAGAGAAATTTCTTGTGTGGATTGCACCTATGCAGTTACTCAATTCTAGCCAACATCAGGACCCTAGTTGTAACTTGTAATAGCCAATATCGTACCTATTCTAGCCAACATCAACACCCTAGTTGTAATATATATGCCATTTATCGTCCCTACAGCCGAGACCAACGCGGCTGTGCTTGCTGTGATCCAAGAGTTATGGAGCAATGTCTTCGAGGAGTTCGTGGCCACTGTGAGGATGATCCTGCCCTCTGACATTGCGGTTGATTGTGAACGCCTAGAGGAAGCTGGAGCCGGAATTAGCGCCACCGTTGATACATACACATCTTCTCCGAGGATTAGTGGAGCAGTGTTATGATTCCCCTTGTTTTTCCATCTCTATCCGCCTCTGTAGTGTTTTGCTGCTCTGATGTAGTTCTTTTGCTGCTGGAGAAGAAGTCCCTGTAATTCAAGAGAACTTAATATACCCCGTGAGTGGGAGGTACATCTATCTATCTATCTATGCTCTCATAGATGACAATGCTAGGGCAACAACAAGGCTAGTGCCAGGGATCGTCATCTAGATGAATAAAAGCCACCTCTAAAAAGACCAGTGGAGGAGAGGTTAGTGACCCTGGATGGCGACCTAGACAGTTGCTGCTCCGCAATTGCACACATTTTAGACGTGAAAAGAAACTACTACCAGGAGCGACTGAATGAGCAGCAACGACTGAAGGTTATGAGCAGGTCTTCCTGCCCTTCGAACAATCAAAATGCTGAAAGTAAGGAGGCCGAATTGGCAGATGCTCATGGTCAACAACTCTCCGGTGGCGCGTCAACATCTTCTCGAAGATTGTGGGGACCAGTTGGACCTTCGCCTACAAGTATCTTCATGTTTTCTTTTCGTTCCTAGGTGAGAATCAAATTCGAAAACGAGGAAGATGATCCGTCTTTTCTCATTTTGAGGTTCAAATCAAATCCGTTGCAACAACAGGTAAGTGTGACCTTTCCGTGTCCGTCCCTAGCAACATCGGCAACGTGACCCACATCCCCAACGACGACGCCATGAACAACTTTGACCACACTACAAAAAGCAGCAACGCTGGCCCCACACCTAGGGCAGGACCAAACACCACAATGCGAATTAAGGCTACAACTGCTACTAATTTGTGTTTTTTTGTTCTGTATGGTGGATAAGGATTTTTGATTTCATCTTCCTCCGAGGAACATTCAACATTTTAGTTTGTGATTTATAAGGGGGTGTAAAGCTGCACCAGTTAGGAGAAGTTGCATCTTTCCAACTTTTTTTCGGGGAAAAGCATGTTGAATCTCAATAGTACGAGGTCCTTAGCTCTAAGACACGTGACTTCCGTCAACAGGCGCCTCAACGAAGGTCAGGTGGCGGCTCTAGCGTGTCTTCTACACCTTGTCACGCCACAGCAGGCGGTGTCACTCGGTCCTTGGATGATACGGACTATTTTTGGCGGTTTTTCACGCCGCCAGACATGGTAGCCATGTGCTTCAAGGGGACGACGAAGGTCCTTACAACTGCTTAGATAACGTACGACGCGTTTCAAGAGAACAACTATTACTTACTAGGACAACTAATAGTTCTTGTGCTGAGATCTTCGTCAATCTTCGTGTATATTCTTTCTATCTACTAACTTTGTAACTATAGAATTCTATCTACTACTACTCCTAGTCCTGGCTGTACTTACATTCTGCTCTCTATCTTCTATTTCCAGAACGCATCTCCTTGAGATCAATCTGAGAAAATTCCAACAACTGCAAGAAAAAACTCCACAGCCTATGTACCACAAGGGTGAGCCGATAACGAAGTTGTGCATGATGCTGCCCAAGTCATTGGCGCAAGTGAATTCGCGCAAGATCAAGGAAATCAAGGAAAAAAGCGGTCTACGAGTCCTCTCCTTGAACAACAGCAACAACATCAACCTCTTGAGCCAGGACCTTTTCGCAATCTTCTTGCAAGGAAGTACTATTTTTAGCTTTTTGTTTTTTGTTTCTTTACTACTACTTCTAGTTATCGTGACTAAGGGTCGTTTTCAAGTACTGCAGTTAACAGGATGACATTCACATTGATTTTGTTCCTTCATCTCTTGGTACAACTTTTTGTTCTACTTCCTCCCTCTTTTCTTTCAACGAAGAAATCATCCCATCATCATCCCAGTTGTCACCGACATCGTTTCTGCTATCGAGCTGATCTATGCTCCGGCCAGTGCCTTCGCTCAGGGCAGCAAGATCGTTGCTTACAGCTTGTTCCCCGAGAAGGTTCTGCAGTCCATCGTGAACGCTTCCGGTTGCGGTGTGCGGGATGAATTGTCAAAAAACTACGGGGTAGCGGGAATTTTGTGTCGCCGTTCCGAGATGCAGAAGCTATCTGGGTCTCAGCGTCTTCTCGCGTGGACGGGTCCGAAAACGAAAATCGCCCAAAGCCTTGGAAAATGCCTCAACAAAGTGAACGTACTAACGAATTGAGGAGGACTGTCGTGTTGGTTGCGCATAATTTTGCATCTATTTATAAGGTGTGCAGGAGAAGAACAGTACAAGTCTCCCTCGTCCGCCAACACTATTTATGAGGTAGCTTAGGTTGTCACGTGGGTCGTCTATGAATAAATGAAAGGATAACGCCTGTGCGATATTTTGATGGAATTTCTATCATCATGTTTGACTTTGAATTTGTTATTAGATATATGGACTATGGAAAAAGACGTTGTAATCAGATGAGGACTAGTAAGTTTTTTCTGATCGCATTCCTGTTTCATCTTGCTGGTATTTGACCATCACTAGCTTTATCTTTACGAGTGCTAATCTATTTCAACACAGGCTGACAGCACTCGAGTTCAAGAGGTAGCTGATCATGGTGAACAAGTCGCCGTCGCTCACACACCGTCGAATGCAGAACTACTTGAAGCTGGGAGTACACCACTGGGTGGGACATCAGTTTCAAATAGGGCAGCAGCAGGCGTCTTTGGGGAGAGATCCAATACCGCTACAACAAGAAGTCTACTGAATGTTATGGCTACTACCGCTGACTTTTATCTATTCTGAGGCACTCGAGAGTGGTTTCTGAAGTAGAAAAAGAACCATCTTCTTGAAGCACACCTCACTTTTATAATAACGACCTAAAGTAGAACGCGATAGCTCTAAGAATGGATGCGATCATGCCTCTTTAGCTGGCGCGATTGGAGGGTCATCAGTTAATCCAAAGTCGACCTTTCCTCCTTCGACAACTAGTACTCCCTGCAGCTATAACCTCCTAAACTTAAGGGTTAACCAATTACATCCTCCACAACCATCCCGCACTCTCTTTCTAGTAGGAAAGAGGTGGGGGATGTGCTGAAGAATGTAATGTGGCAACCTTTAATAAACAGCAATGCGAGTACAGGTGGAGGTGCTCCTCCCTTTGGAGGTGCAGCTCAAGGAGGTCACTCACAAAACAACAACGGAAGTGGAATGCATCAGCTCCCCCTGCCACCCCAAGTCGGCACTGGCGGGCAGCTGGCAGGTAGCATGAACCTGAACAGGAGCTACGGTATTTTTAAGGCTAGGTTCTCTGTAGAAGAAGAAGACGTGTGGTGTAGAAGAAGCATTCCAATGTGGTGTAGGCTGAGTGAAGTCCCATCCTTTGATTCCTTAAAATAAAGGGGAAAGAAACTACCAAGGGGGAAATAAGTAGGGGGAAATAAGTAGAAGGAGAAGGAAAACAATACACTAAGCCAGGGATCGATATTGAAAAACTAGCGCTAATATTTTGAACATCAATCAAGAAAAGCTGCCGCACATCCGCACCTCAAGTCGGAACAAACACACGGCTGGGACGGCGCCCTTCGTCGCGAGAAACAACAGTCACTTATACTTATGAATCAACTCTGTCCAGTTACTTCAGGAGATCATCTTCGATACCTAGAGAGGGAATTTTTGCAGTTACCTGTACGTAAAGAATGCATGGATGGAGACGGGGTCATCAGAAAGGGGATTATTGTAAGCTGCTTATAGTAGTAGACTGGTTGTTTAGTATCAAACGCTACATCTGTTACGAGAGGTACTCTTTTAGAAGACATGACTTACAGCATATGGTCACTTCACCATGTAGTTGATCTGAATCTATTCATCTGGTCGTTCCGTTCCGCTGCTTTGCTTTTTTTGTGCATTTCGTGGCTTTTACAAACGACCTAGAATGTGGCTTGCTACCCTTCTCTCCGCTGGTTTAGACTACATTCTGTCTTTACCGGATCGAATGTTGGGCACAACAGATCCTACGTACAGTACTAATATATCCTAAAGCTGCTAGTACTACAGCATTAACTACAGCATTAACCTAGCACTTCTCATTAAAGAAAATGCATATATTTTCAGTTCTTCGAGGTTCAGTTGATAAGAAAGTCCCTGCAGGACTCCTTCCATCTCTTCTAATCCTTGGGTTGTTGAATAAGCAGTCGACAACGCCTGTGATGGCGAACAGCGGACAACAACAGCAGCAGCCATTTTTCCGTTCCACGACTGGTCTGGTTTCTCAATCTCAGGCAGCACAACTACCAGTCCTTCAGCCGGGAGGGCAACAAGCAGGTCAACAAAGCGCCATAGTGCCCTCGTCTCAACAGCTGGGAGGGCAGTCGATTGCCGCAGGTGCTATGCCTTCGCAACAGCAACAATTCGGGGGCTCACAACTAGCGGAGCAGACCACGTCAGGACAGACACCTAGTATGCATGGTACTACATCAGAACAAGGCTTGCTTGGTGCGTCTCTGGTGACAGCACCTAGGATGCACGGTACAACTGCAGCAGAACTACAAGGTACAACTACACCAGTAATATGCAGTACAACTGCACCAGGTACTGCTGCACCTCTGTCAAGTTTAGAACAGGCTCTATTCAATGCAGCGTCGTCGAATGCAGCCTTCTCGAGATGCGGATCTTCATTTGCAAATGTGAATATGGGGACGAGGACGACGCAACAAGAAGAAGCTCTGCAATTCGGTGGTGGACAACATCAACATCAGAATGTACAACAACTAGGACTGAATCAACTAGGACTAGGACAAGGACAGCAACCTGGCACTACTCCTTGTAGTTCTACAGCGATGATTGGTAGCGCCACAGCAATGCTTGGACTCTGTAGTTCGACATCTACAGCTGCATCGTCAAAGGAGAGCCCTATCAACGTAGGCACTCGCAACCTGTGCCCTGCGACCAAAGCCGACGACGACTCCTGCCTTCACACGGGTAAACATGAATCCAAACGCAAGCTTCCGCACAGTTTAGAACAAGTCCACACGACTAGCACTTGTTTAGAAGAAGGAAATGGTAATGGACACACTACTTTGGAACCAAGTGGAGCTAGCGATTTTTGTAGTACTAGTATTAAAGCTAGTACATCAACTACAACATCTTCAACAAGGGTCGAATTCTTAGACCAAGACGTGAAGAAACATGCGCATGTTTTGAGACCACACGATAACAAGAAGAACGATGATGGTGTCATCCCTATGCTAGACACGACGACGACATCAGAAGGAGACATTCTTGGGCTTACAGCTGTGGCGAACGAAAGACAGGGACAGCTTACAATCCACGACATCCTGGACTCGGCGCCGACGTCGTCTGAAGAAGCTGGCGGCGACTCTACCTCATGTTAAGACTAGGAAGTTTTGGAAAAGGATCTCCGTTAATAGCTAGTAAACTAGCCTAATAAAAATATAAACTAGCTAATTAACCTAGCGACGCAGAAAAAAACGATTTTTATGAGTGGAAGCAGTTTTACCTGTGATAAAAAACAATATTAGCGTTTATAGTATTAGCAATGGGCTTCAATCTCTTAAGGACCTCCCTTAATAGCTATAGCAGATCCACATCCACTATGAGCTGACGTATTTCTCAAGGACGAGGAACGTGATAGAAATATTAGAGGATTCGGGAAGATATGTAGGAGAAAGGATTTCTTTAGGTCAAACTACAACCTAACCGGAAGCCCCTGCTAATGATTGCTAGAAGCTGGCGCTGCAGAGTGGGCCGACACATATACTGTCGAAGAATTGAGCGCTTATGTTGCGGAACTGTTGGATATTTCCGAAAGCGAGAATGCACTGGAAGCGAAGGCAGAGAACGATACGGAGAAGGCGGAGAACGATACGGAGAAGGCGGAGGCGAAGGACGAGGAAAAAGCCGATCATGATGGAAAAGAATCGGCGGAGGAACAGATAAAACCTGTCGAGGTCGAAGGTGAGAAGAACACCGCAGAAAAAAAGGCGACCGAAGGAAAAGGAATACTGCTTGAGAACCAAGACAGAGAAGGCGCAGAGAAAGTAGAGCAGGCCACGATTGCTGCAGATCCTCCGAGTAGCGCACCGAGTAGCACTTCTCCCGCCCCTGATGACGCGGGGGCTTCTGTAGTTGACAAAGTAGAAGGACTTTCTTGCGCAAAAGAAGCAGCAGAAGATGCGCAGGCAAAGGGGATTATCGCCGTTGTCGGAAATGAAGACGAAGATGCAAAGGCCGCTGTAGAGGAAGCACGAGTCTCAGGTACCGAGGACATAAAGAGAGACGAGAAAGAAGACGAGAACGATTGCGCTCCCGACACTGGTGCAGTTGTTGATGTTCACAGAAATGTTGAGACAAATGTTCATGAGGTTGATGAACCTGCAGTACCTGTTGTCGATAAAATCAGTGACATAAGTAGTGAGGAGAAAACTGCAGTACCTGTTGTCGAAAAAACGAGCGAAAAAGTTTTAGTAGATCCTGCTACGACAGCACCACAGGCTGCAGTCAAAAATACAGAGATGACAATTATTACTCTTCAAGACGGACAAGAAGATGCAGCTACAGTTCTTGAGGAGGAGAACAACATCAGTAATGTTGTGGGCGCCTCCGCCTCGTCGACAGACGAAGACGAAATGGAAGTCGAAGATCATATTGCCAGTGGACGGGAGAAACAAGAGACTACGTCCTGCTTAGAACCTTTGTCAGCGGACTCTTCGGACAGTTTTAACGCTGAGCAAGAAGAGCAACAAAAGGACGTTGGGATGGAGGAAGCGATAACTACAATGGTGGAAGCTGGAGGACCAGAAGGGGCTCGAAAAACTACAGAGGAGCAGAATGAGCAAGAAAATGTAGAGAAAATGCCTGCCGGTCAAGACGATGAGAGGCAAGCAAACGTGGAGAAAATGCCTCCCGCTTCCCTTATAATTGCAGAGGACCAGAAGCGAGATGAGATGCCTCCCGCCAATGACGAGGAGCAGATGGAGCAAAACCTAGAAGCAAAAATTTCTGAGCGGAAACTAACATTGGACTGTTTAGTACCCTCAAACGAGGAAGTAGCCCTAGAGCAAGAAGATAGTGGTAGTGGACAGGAGAAACAAGAGTCACCACCTCCAGACGTGGCACAAACTACTTCTAGTGCCGAAAGTAGTGGCCAAGATGACGTAGAAACAACTAAACAGGCAACTCAACAGGAAGGAGAAACTTCCAATCCGGAAACGGGAGCTCCTTCACCGAGGCAAGATGCTAGCATGGGCGTGACTAACAAGGAGGTCATTCACACTTCTTCTACAGCTTCCTGTAGTGCAGCCGCTGCCGAGGTTTCAGCTACTTCTTCAACCGGCAGGGTGGATCCAAAAACTGCATATATGAGCGCAACTACCTCCGCCAGTATCATGATCTCTCTGGAAAGTCGTGAAGCATTTTCCGAAGGGATATCTCGTCTCGACTTAGATCCTAACGCAGGAGTTGACATCCGGCTGGATCCTCATATTTGGTCTGTCGCAGGAGTAAAGCTTGCCAGAGTAGAGATCAACATCAACCACGTGAACAATGGCGTCGATTGTATATCCCAGATACAACTCTTAGCTGCAAACTTAGAAGACAGGGGAACGACCTCAACTACTTCTTCTAAGCGCCTAGCAGCCTGGGCTCTGGAAGATGTGCGCTTAGGTGAGGCCTTCGCTCGTGAATATCAGTTTGTGATGTCTACCCAGGTTATGCAGCTAGTTGCAGAAAAGGTTGAGCCGTCCACTTTTTCTCAGGATGACACCAACAAGCGAACTGAGCAGAAATTATCGGAAAGCACTTCTAGAAGTACTAAAAATATCCAATGCGTAGTTTTTGTGCCTCCGGCTCGCTTCAGCGAACTCTTGTTGCAGCAAGCTGCGCGACGCCTGTATTCCCAGAATCATGTGGAAGCTGAAGAAACATCCCAGATCGTTTTAGGGCCCTTACTGCCGAAAGCCTGTCCGCCATATTCATTGATGTCGCCAACACCAACAGGAACAACAGTTGTAGGTTGTTCAACATCGCATTTCGCAGGATCTTCAAGCCCAACTACATCAAAAGGAGCAGGAGCGTCGCCCTCGAGTTCCGGCGGTGGCCTTTCCGCAGCTGCTGTTGCGAAGGCTTCTTCAACCACAACAACCGCGGTGGAGGTGATGAATGCAGCGCATCCGAAGTCGTCGCCTGCTTTGGGCACCTCAAGTGGGAGCTGCCACATACAGCACGCACCTGCTTCACAAACATCTACTTCCCAACAGCAACAACTTCTACTACTAAGTGGTCAGGGAGGACAGCAGGAATCGGGAGGATGTGGTGGAGCATCAGGACCCCCACAGGACAGTACAACTAGTTGTACTACAACTACCACTAGTTGTAGTTCTTTACCACAACTAGGAGGAGGAGGTGCTCCTCCTGCTGCTCCAACTGTCGTCTTCGGGAGTGTGGATCCCTACACTGGAGCGATCATAACAACCTCTTCTAGCTCCGCCTCTGGGGCAACCTTGAGTGGTGCAGCACTAGTAGCCGCAAACTTGAGTGGCTCCTGTGGAGCGTCTCTACAATCTACTACTGGAAGTGGTACGGGTGGTCCCTATCAACTCCATCACGGGAGCAAAAAATCAGCTACTATGATGAAAGGCAGCTACTATAAGGGCGGCAAGAACAAGTATGCAGCTCATTATCATGGTAAATACGGATCCTACCAGCATCATCTGCACGGAGCAGCAGGTGGCAAGTATGGAAGGGAACAACACCACGCGCCTAGTTCTTCAGGAAGTTACAGCAATCAACAATTATTGGCACTACAACATCAGCTTCTACCGACAACAATTGCTGGCAGCAGTAATTCTTGTTCCGTTGTGGCGGGTGTCGTGGGTGTGGCAAGTACTTCTACCGGTTCATCATCTTCCGTCAAGGTTCACGGTAAGTATGGCGCTCCCGGAGTCTATCAGCCGCCTCATCAGCTGTCTTCTCCGGGTACTCCGCCAAGGGAAGAACATCAGAATGGAACCGCCAGATGCGCAACATCAACTCCCAGTTCATCTGCAACTACTATATTAGCGGGACAGGGACAACTAGCGGGACAGCAGGGACAACTTCACACGGCAGTTGTAACTAGTACAACTGGTAATAATATGGGAGGACAGCAGGAGGGACATCAAGCCTTCACTGGCGCTGCAGGAGTAGGAACACATCACTCGGTGTCGGGACAACCTCTTCAGGTTGGAACTTCTGCGCCTTCCCCGTCCGCTCAGCAGCAGACTTCGCACAACCTTCCACCCCTTGGCACCAATGAACCCCAACAGCACCAGTTGATGTATCCTAACCATGGCACTAGTTGTCAGTCTGGTGGAGCCGCGACACCTTCAGGGAGTCTACCACAACTGAATGTTAAGGGTTCAAAGTTGACCTATCATCTAAGAGCATCTCTATGGCTTCTTCAAGTAGGAAAGCCATAGATCATATGCGAGCTAGAGACGGCAACTTTCAACCCCTAAGAAAGTACTAGGTGGATCGAGTGGGACGCCGAGCATGGCACAGCTACTCCAGCACCAGCAGCATCAATCTACAACTATTCCATCTGGACTCCAAAATGGATTAGCAGGTGGAGGACATCAAGCTTGCCTAGGTGGACCTTCTGCTGGACATCAAGGTTTACTAGGATCTTCTGGACCTCACTCGAGTAATGCAGTACAACAAGTCTGTACAACAGCGACTATGATGATGAAGAGCAGAACGAAAAAACGCGGTCGCGGCAAAAAGCGTGGCTCTCCTGGTTCGAGGTCTGGTAGCTCCTCCTCCACCTCCTCCAGCAGTTCTAGCTCATCCTCATCCTCCGACTCGTCTGCTGACGCTAGACGCCGCAAGAAGAAGAAGAAAAAACTGAAGAAAAGCAAAAAACTTCTTCTGAAAAAAGAAGCAGCGAAAAAAGTGACTTCTACCTCTACTACGGCTATTAATATGCATGCCAATCCACATCCAGCAACACAGAACACTTCTCAACATACTTCTAGTTCTCAACATACAGCTAGTAGTCCTGCACTCGCGGCCCTAAATGCCGGTAAGGGGGCCTCTTCCATGTGCGACAAGAATGGGACAATAAAAGTACTGCCACCAGCCAAAGTACTGCCACCCGGAGGAAAAAACAACACTCTTGCTGGAAGCATGAGTCCTCCAACGACGACCACAACAGCGACAACAGCAGCGACGCCAGCAGCCACGACCACAACAACAACCGCGACAGCACCCACAGGAGCAAACAACAGTTCTGCTTCTGGTGGTACGACTTCCGCAGCAGCTGCTGCATCTTCACAAGTAAATTTAAGGCGGTACCTAATTATTACATAGATCTTTAGACCACGCATCCTTGATGAAACGTATGGAGGAGTATCCACCTGAGGGAAAAGGACTCCCCCAGACTTTTCAAGGATGCACTTGAAAGATGAATTAGGGACAGCTCTAATAAACGTAGTAGTTGAGACGGCGCAACAAGACTCGCGGACCTCAAGCTCAAATGACATCAAGTTGACGGGAACTACAGAGGGCGACGTGGAGGGAGCGACTCCTCAAAGGAAAAAAAAGCGTAGTTCTAAAACGAGTTCAAAGAAATTAAAATCAGCATCTCAAGGAGAGCAAGGTCCGGGAGAGCAAGGTCCGGGAGAGCAGTTACCTCCTGTGCTCGCAAGCTCTATTATGACAGGAAAAAGTGTACTCATAGTTGTACTCAGAAAACTAGCTGCTTTCCTAGGCGTAAAACCTACTAGCTACAACTAGCTACAACTCACAACGGAACCAGGCAGTTATACTTGTAGCTGCTACGTGGTTCGAATGAATGAGTGAGTGAACAATGAGTAAGTATGTACTATACTATGAGTACAGGAGTTGTTTATGTTTTTCCTTTCATATCATCTACAGTTGGTGGATCCTGTCCTTCGCCTAGCGACTCGTGTAGTAGTCAAGAAGACGACGTTGAGACTCCACCGAGAGAAGAAAAGAAGAAAAAAAAGAAGAAAAAACGCAAAGTTAAGGTCAGCTTTCATATGTCCATCTTTCTCGGCATCTCGGTACCCTTTTGTTCCCCTGTATTGTTCTCACGAATATTTAGATGAGGGGGCCGAGATGCAACAATCTAGCAGACACTAACAAAGACCATAAGGAGCATCATCATGGCAGTGGCGGCACTTTGAGCAGGGCGGAACAACTACTACAACATATGTCACAGCAGTCCTCTTCAGGAGTTGCGGGGGGACACTTTCACCATCAGCATCTTTACGGTAGGGGCGGGCAACCTGGAGCTCACGGACAAGGACTACCCGTGCAACATCATCAAAATTAAGGGCTCTCATGTTGCATTCTGCACTTGCATCCTTGGCCTCTTCTAAGAAGATGAACATACTACAGATCATTCTACTATATACTTCAGCAGGTCGGGAGGAAGATGTTCAACATGTTCCGCAGAATGCAAAAATGCAAAAATTATCAGCTCTAAGAAAAATTGTATGATGAAACAGGAAACTTGGATTTGAGCTCCTTGTCGCATTTCTTGCAGGCGAATCCAGCTTTTTTGGCTACAGTGCTAGGAAAAGCTGGCACAGCAGCGGATCTGGCACAAGGATCACCCGGCATGGGACCTAAGCAGGTCGGTTCTTCCATGATGCATAAAGGCGGAATGCATATGACTGCACCTGGAGGCAAAAGTAGCAATCACAAGGCCGGTTTTAATCCTTATTCTCACCATAATTATCAACATAACTTCTCGCCTGGGTGGAACTCCAATTCGCCCAATGTCGTTGCGCCTGGGGGCAAGAGTAGCTATCATGCACAATCTACGTCATCATTTATGACAGCATCATTTATGACAATGACTTCCGGAAATGTATTTCCATCCTCAGAAGCAAGCATCTTGGGCCACCTCCGTGTTGTAAGGGGAAGACGTTGCTGGGCCAAGATTTGACTTTTGAAATGGGGCTAGATTCCACCCGGAAGGTCTAAATCATCTGGGTCATGGGGCAAAAATGCTAGCGGCGGGCCTTATGCCTTCGGTACGGGAGGACAACAGCAACACCCGTCATTGATCCCACCGCAAGGGTCAGGCTCAAACTCATCGTCCGGGGCGACTGGTACTGGAACAGGAGGTGCAGGAGGTGGCAAAACGGCTAGTTGCACAACGGGACCGAACGCAATTCCTACGAGCAGCGATATTATTAACAACGCTCTTCTTACGGGAACAGCCCCCAGGGGAACTGCTTCTACTACATCAAGTACATCAATAATATCTGGAACGAACAACAAGAAGCGTATGAAACCAAGTGCTGGCGCACTCGAGCAAGGCACCTTGCAACAGAGCATGATAATGCCTGATCATCATTTTGATTGCGAACAAGTCGAGGACAGTAAAAGAATGCTGCAAATGTCAAATCCCTATGCAGACATTCCGCGATTAGCAGACTCTAGTAGTATCAGCAATAATATTGAACAACAAGAAGAACAAGAGAATATTAATGCAGAGAAGTCAAGAATCATTACCGCATCTTCATCATCGAATTCCAAGTCGAATTCACAAGGACAGCACTCTCAAGGACAGCAGGAGCCTTCTTCTTGTTCTCAAGGAGCGAACGCGGGTACGGGACCGACATCAGGTGGAGCAAAGACCACAACAAATAATACTAGTTGTACCAAAATAAATACCCCCAGTAGTAGTACGGGTACTGCTGGCACCACGACCAGAGAACAGGATACTAGTACGACTAGCAGCGGAGAACATGTTGTGCAACATGAGACGTCCACTAATAGTAGTGCTAGACGTGTAGGTCCTCATCCTATATTGCTTGGGGGTTCAACTACATCTTCTAGTTCTTCTAAAAATAAGAGCAAGTTCAACGCCACCTTTTTTTTAGATGACCACAGTCCCGAGAAGATGATCTCGTCTCGTGGCAATTTGGTAGTTGTCTCTGATGCTCCACGCAAGGGTGGATCGGGTTCTAGGAACACTGGTGCAAAAGGAGATGTACAACCACTCCAAGGAACAAGTGCAAGTAGTGGACAACAAAACAAGGATGCAAGTTCTTGTAGTACTTCTATTTTTAATGCATCATCCTCTTCTTGTTCTACTACTCCTAGTAGTACTACCATTCATCAGCATCACGCACCATCTGCTTCAGCTTCATCTAGTACTACTACGTTCTCTACTAATACTAGTACAGTTGTAACAGTAGGTGAAGGTGTTGGCACTTCTACTTCATGTACAACAACATCGAGTGGAGGAGCAGGAGGAGGAGGTGCCGCGGCTGTACAACCTGGCAGAATGGTTCCGAGAGGGTATACGAGGCGTGGCCGTGGTGGTCGTGGAGGGAGAGACCATATTAGAGATATCAACAGGGATGTACTAAACAGAGATCTCAATTCAAATCGCATGGCGCTTCCTAGGGAACGCGATGATCGTAGTGGAGGAGCTGTGAGAGAACGGGATGGAGGAGCCGTGAGAGAACGGGAGGATCGTCCTGATCGTGGAGGAACTGACCGTGGAGCAGGAGCAGCTGACCGCGGAGGCAGTGACTTGGGTGGTCGTGGTGATCGTGGTGGTGACACTCGTGACCGAGGGGGCAGTGACTTGGGTGGTCGTGGTGATCGTGGTGGTGACACTCGTGGCACGACTACACGAGGCACAACACATGGTGATGACAGGCCTACACGTGGCACAGTGCATGGTGGTTCACAGCGATCTGATAGTAGAATTGCAGGAGGTCGAAGAAGACGTGAGGTTCGAAAGGAGCATGGAGGCCACGGAGGCCATGGATGGACTAATTCACTTCGAGAAGGCCAAGCAAAAACTGCGGACTTCGAAAACTCTCAGACGCAACAACAACAGAGATACTACACCGGTAATAATTCGTCCACCACTTCTAGTACTGCAAGTGCTGCTGCTGGAGGTGCAAGTGGTAATGCTGGAGGTACAAGTGCTGCTGCTGGAGGTGCAAGTGGTAATGCTACCGCTGGAGGTGGAAGTTGTGCTGCTGGAGGTGGCAGTGGTGCTGCTGGAGGTGGAGGTAATGGCCCAGTAGTCACTGGTGGTAGTACAACTACGACTTCATGTGCTGGTACCACGAGGACTGGAGGTGAAACTACATCATCAAGTGGCAACAACAATGTTCTGAACAATCTTCATGGAGGAAAGGCTAAAAATAGCAGTGGTCCCAGTCCCAGCATCAATTGTTCTAGATTGGCTAAACTCAAATCTGGCAACGCCCTCATGGTTCATGTGCCTCTAGTTTCTGGAAGCAACTACAACTCTAGCAGTCTTGCAAACAACAAATCGGATGGGGGCGCCTCCTCCAAAAGGAAAAGGAATAATAGTCCGACCGTAGTAGAGTCGGACGGATTGGAGGAGACGACTGGGCAGCGTATCAAGCTCAAGAAGACGAGAAAGCATTTTCATCTAAGGCGGCTAAATACAATAATACAATGTAAGAACAGTTGTTCCAAGTTCTTAGAACTCTCAATAACAAACAAGAACTGTTTTTCCTCCAAGTTCTTAGAACTTTACAATTCTAATGGAGCTTGTGGTCTCTACCTTGAGTATGGTCTTTGTTGCTTTCAGGAAATAAGATACGTACCAAGATGAACAGGGACGCATGCATGCGCTTAGTTACAGGGACGCATGCATACGTTTCTCCCGGGTCGTGTTTCCTGCTTCCTATCATTCTGAGGAAACGAAGGGAAAAACCAGAAATGAATCTACTTGATGGGGGTAGCGTTTAGGGCTTCGGAAGGGTGGCTTGGGTTTAGGACTCTAATTCATCGCGATCGCAAAGACTCAGACCAGGGTCGCTCTTCGAGGAAAATTATAGTGGACGAGCCAGCAACGGCAACTACCAGAGAGCCAGCAAGTAGCAAAACTATTCATAAAAGCAGAGGACGCCGCAGTCACTGTTCACGCGGTGGTGGTAAAAGAGAGCGTGGTCTCGCGAAGCCAGCTACGTCTTCAAGAACAGCAACAACTGGTGCTGCTACAACTACTACAACTACAGTTGTTACGGCCTGATATAGTATAGTTGTGCCGCTTCTAGTATAGGCACAATCATCATTATTATAATCATGCTCTAACAATAAAAATCCATTTTCAGCTCTTGCTATCTTGAGATGGGATGACTTCATCTCAAGATGGAATATGACATCGTGAGCTCTAATATTACAGGAGTACCAGGTACAGGGACCCCACGGCGAAAGTCGTCGTCGAGGCACCTCCCAGGAAGTGATAGGAAAGCGAAACACGACACTAGGAAGACTCGAGAGCAGCAGTGCGGATCCCCAGCCGCGGAGCGAAGGAAGCATCACAGGGCGAAAGAGCACACTACAGGGAGAACTTCCTGCTCACCTCGTAATTATACTAGGCTGCCTCATAGAGAGCAGCACCAGGTGAAGTTGTCAAAAGCTGGCACGATTATGGCTAGTACCGCGGGAGCATAGATATCCTTACAGAAGCAGCACCCTTGGAGGTTCTTCTTTTTCAACTTGAAAAACGGACCAAGGATGCACTATTAAACACGGACCATGCTTGCGCGGTAGCTCTAACACCACGTCGCCCTCACGTCACGCGGAAAGAGCTTCATCTCGTAGTTGTAAACGAACTCGAACAAGGACAGGACCAGTGGCTGCTACATCAAGAACATTAAGGGTTTGTTCCGAATTGCATTCCCCAGTACCAAATGGTCCCTGGAGGTTCCTTTCCTAGTAGAAAAGACGCCAGGAATTATGTCCTGAGGAATGTAATTCCGTAAAAATCACCTCTAACAACAAGAGCTAGTGGACTTGCGTCCCCTTCACCCGTAGTGCGTGGAAAGAGAGGAGCTGCGTCGTCCAGAAAGGTGGAGAAAATACTAGAAGTAGTCGAACAAGCTGTAGCTGCCCGTTCTCGCTCAAGAAGGCGCGCACGCGGAGGTCATCATGAGAAGGAAGCTGAGAGCAGGACGACGGACCAAGCGGCGAAACAGACTGAGAGGACGACCCAACTACAAGCGGCGAAACAGGACCAGGACAGAAAGGCAACTACGACAAGGCCACAAAATAAAGTAGATAATTTCATCAACATAGAAACAAGAACAAGAACCCCTGCTGCTTCTGGAGGGCAACATCTTGAAGGTACTAGAGCTGGAGGGCAACAGCTTCGAGATAGGACAACATCAAGACAACAAGAACAAGAAAGAAGAAATCCTGGAGGGCAACAAGAGCAAGAGAGGAAAGGTAGGACAACAGTTGCGCCGTCGTGGTCTCCTAAAAACCCTCTTTGCAAGATGACAACGACATCCAGTACTACAACTAGTGCCACAGAAGATGCGCAAGAGCAAGAAAGAAGAACTCCTGGAGGGCAACAAGAGCTCCTACAGGTCCATCATCAAGAAAGAAGAACTCCTACAGGTCCATCATCCACTAGAGCTGTGGCTACATCAACTGTAGTGAGTGCAACTGGTGCATCAACTGTAGGGAAAAATGCTCCAACGTCAGCTGTAGGTGGGAGTACAACTGGTACAACATCGTCTGCTGCGGCTACAACTGCTGCGGCTACAACTGCTGCGGCTACAACTGCTGCGGCTACAACTGCTGCGGCTACAACTGTTGCGGCTACAACTGCTGCGGCTACAACTGTTGCGGCTACACCACCAACTGCTACTGTGCCTACATCAAGTGCCGCTGCTGTGCCTACATCAACCGCTGCAACTGCTGCCGAGCCTACATCAATTGCCGCTGCTGTGCCTACATTAACCGCTGCTGCTGCTGCCGCTGCTGCTGCTGTGCCTACATCAGCCGCTGCTGGTGCTGCCGCTGCTGCTGCTGTGCCTACATCAGCCGCTGCTGCTGCTGTGCCTACATCAGCCGCTGCTGCTGCTGCTGAGCCTACATCAATTGCCGCTGCTGTGCCTACATTAGCCGCTGCTGCTGCTGCCGCTGCTGCTGCTGTGCCTACATCAGCCGCTGCTGCTGCTGTGCCTACATCAGCCGCTGCTGCTGCTGCTGAGCCTACATCAATTGTCGCTGCTGTGTCTACATCAACCACTGCTGTTCGTTTTCCTACATCAATTACATCAATTGTCGCTGCTGTGGCTACATCGAGTGCTGCTGCTTTTGAACCTACCAAAGCGCAGAGCCCGCCAGCAAAAGCGAGAAGGCCTGGTGATGGTGAAACCCTGCCTTCGACGCAGCCACCACCTGGTAGATGATGAAGCACCACCTGATAGTTGAGGTGGTCAAGAGGCTTTTAGAGTGAGTGTGCATATCATGCTGACATGAAATACTATATGAAAAGATATCGAGGACCAGTGATGTATACTTTCATTTCTACTGTAGACTTTTAGTAGATAAAATGAGATAGAGATATCTTCTACATGATCGACTGTTTACTTTCCCTCGTCAGAACATATTAGTATCTTCACATATCAGGTCCGCCTTTGGTTTCTGCTGCATAATACCTGTCTCACCTTGCCTATGGAGAATTATTCAAAAAACATAATGATCATGAGGACAAGAATGAGAAGGTTAGGATAGCTTACTACCACCAAGATAAAAAAGATAGATCTGTGATCGTTTCTGATGGTGTCTTCTACTGATCAACGATTTGAATTTGTTCAGTGTAGTGTCCTCTGCAATCTATTTTTAGCTACTCGTAATATAAATCTAGTGACTAAAACTAGGCTAAATTACAACCATCATGATCTACAACTATTGCTATTGGGGACGGAGAGCACCATCATCATGGAGCGGATGAATCAATGTAATAGTTATTTGCGATCGACTCTTACTGCACGATAAGATCATCGAACAATATCAAAAATTCGAAAAACGATTTCAGATGCTTCTCTCTTTGCTCAAATTTCTATTTCATAGGGAGCTTGTAGAAGGGGATCGACAATTGATCTTGCCGTGATGTTCTTCTTAGGACAAGATCAGTTCCGCGCCTTCACGACGACAGCTTCGTTATTCATTATGAATACTTGTAATAACTGAAAGAAAAAATGCAATATTATAAATTATACTAAGTTCTTGTAACTAAGGTGTTTTTACTTTGAAGATGAATATACAACATGTACTAGCTACTAGACGGTGCAATGGTGTGAATGAACGCTCACCCCCTCATAAGTGAGCCCACTCCTATCCTAAAGTAAACATCTCTTGAGGGCAGCTGGCATGTGAGTCTGAAGTTGGTTCAGGTGGAAGAAGCGAAATCATGGGAAACACAGACATCAGAACTTTTGTACAAACGTTAATATCAGACTGACCTCGCGTGAGCGGGCATACTCAGTGAGGCACGACGAGCAGTGACACGGTCATGTCGGCTGGGCTCGGGCTACCGCGCATCGCCACTTGATTGATTGATTGGCCCACCACACAGAAAATTTCGGGACACTAAATCTCTATCTTTTATTTTACCTGAAATCATAACCCTCCAAGAAGATTGTCTTTGGCTTTGACCTCCACTCAGATGTTGAGTGTGCGCATCGCACAGCTAAGTACCTGGAGAGTTGGCCCCTGCAAGAACAAGATCGCATGCCAGAGACCACCTTCCTCTAACTCTAATAACTCAAATTCTATTTTTAGATAACAAGAATTGAAAACGCTCGTGGCGGGGGCGCTCGATCACCACCCACCAGGTAAGATATCAAGCTGTTTGATGTTCAGTTAGACGTTTGAAGGAACCGTAATTTGGAGAGAGCGAAACAAAGATCAATTGAGTGTGTGACAAGAGTACTATAAGAGAGTGGTGCACCGTTAAGAGAGTCGATGTCTATAGAGGTCCAACCTAGAGGAAGTCCAACCAGCAGGTCTAGAGAACAGGTGATATCCCGACATTCATAATCGAGGCTGTGTATAGAAGTTGTCCTAGTTGTCGGCTCGTCACTCTACTACTCTCCGTCTATAAGTACAACTGATAATATTTAAATGAGCTAACATCACTACTGCAACAACATCAACAAGATCAAACAAGATGGACCACCAAAGTAGCAGCGGGAAAAGCGTAGCAAAGCGGGCGCTGGCCGCCTGGTTGGCAGTGTCCTCGTGCACCGGCGGAATAATTCGGGATGTCGCGGCTCCCGTTGACGTCTACGCTGCCGGACTCGGAACAACGACAGACGCAGAAGATCCGAAATACGCCTCCCCCGAGCCTACCTACCGCAATATCGATAACGGTCCGCCTCCGCTTCGCTCTTTCTTGAACATGAACATGATGAAGAACTTCACGTTGCGCGGACGAGAAGAAGGAAATGAACAAGATGTGGACGTAGGTCGTGTCTCTCGCAGCTCTTCCGACAGTGTTGATGATGTTGATGTTTCTGGTCCTTTTGTGAGCTGCAACAATATGTCGGGGCTTCGTTCCACCTCGTCTGGGTCCTGTAGTACGTATGGGCAGCAACAACAATCAGAAATCAGTGAAGAGTCGGGCGAACGTGGACAAGCATCAAATGGAGGACGAGCATCAAGAAATGGAGCATCTTCAATTCATGGAACATCTTCAATTCTAGGACCCTCCTCGAGGACATCAGATCTTCACTTTCTCGCACGACCCTCTTTTTCCTCTAGTACAACTTCCCCTGCTCCTGCTGTGGATCAACCTGTAGTACTGTCTGAACTGCACCCGAAGAAGACGAAGAGTGCATCTTCAATTGTAGCAGACATCAGAAGTACAACTAAAAAGAACAGACTTGAGCCCTTCTTCAACGGGGCGATGGTGCCACAAATGCTGCAAATTTCAGAGTTTCTTACCCCAGAAGACCGACTTGCATTGCGCCAGTTTACACTCGCCGATCATGAAAAGGAGACTTCTAATTCTCCTCCTGAGCCAAGAACTCCAACGCAGCCAGCGCCTTTTCTAAAAAGGCATAGAGCAGTTGGTGAAGCAGTGCAGCAGGGATCTTCGTCCGGGAAAATGAAATTGAAAGCGTCCACCTCTTCTGTAGATAGATGTGCCGAGATGCCTTCAAAAGAAGAAGAAGAAGAAGAACAGAGCGGACTTCAACAAAAGCAAAAGCTGCTACAAGACCAACAAGAGCAGGGAAAACTGTGGAAAATGACGCGTGACCGAGAAGCTCAGTTTTTTAATCAGGATTGTCACCAAAGATTATTTCCCTTGTCTCCTGGTCCTGCATTACAACTTGGCGCGCCTGCAGTTTTTCCTACAGCCCAGGCTGCAGCTCCTCCTGTTCCTCCCATGAGTCTTTTAGGGGACCACCGTCTTTTCCTTTTTGGTCGAGAAAGCACCCCAACTGCAACTGATCAACATGCTGAAGAACTACAGCATCAAGTTCAAGAAGAACATGAGCATCCTTCTACTTCAATTGCAACTGCTATGGGTCAGCATCAAGTTCAAGAAGAACATGAGCATTCTTCTACTTCAATTGCAACTGCTATGGGTCAGCATCAAGTTCAAGAAGAACATGAGCATCCTTCTACTTCAATTGCAACTGCTATCGGTCAAGACCAGCATCTGACAGCCGCTCCATGCTTTGTCACTACACATCTTGGCCAGGATGGCGCGAAGGTGGTGTCTTCTGATTTTTACCACCCTGATCGAAAGAGCCTGCCATACACATTTGCGGAAGCAGCTAAGATGGCTGGGCAACCTGTTTTGTACACTGGGACGGAGCCACTGGGTTCTTCGTCTTTTCCACCACGTCCCTTGCCGGCCATTGCAGGCATTGCCGTGAATGCACAACCAAGTCCGCAGTTGCAAGCGTGGATGGATGCAGAAGATCGCAAGCAGAGAGAGTTCGTGGCAGAACTCGCAGCATTAGAAACGGCCATGGGTGGCTAGCATGGCGAGGATGAATTTGGACGGGAATGATGAGAAGTAGCGAGGTACGCAGAAGATGAAGACTTTTCTTTTCATGAAAAAGTTAGATGAATGAGGAGAAGTATTCACTAGTTCAAGATGACGCGGAGGAGTCTGCTACTTTTTGTGGATTAAGTGTGAAGATAGTTGACAAGAGCACCCCTTAGAATATATTTATTAACAGGTATATATACAAGAGGTAAACCAAAACTCTATAGGCTTTTCCTATAGGAGCCCTATAGGAGGCTCTATAGGAAACGCCTATTAGGGCCTTCGTATAGGGACCCCCTATAGGACCCCGCATTTGAGACCGCGGACTTATAGGAAGCCTTATAGGCATCTCTATAGGCAGCCCTATAGGGAACCCTATAGGAAACCCTATAGGAAGCCCTATAGGCATCTCTATAGGCAGCTCTATAGGGAACCCTATAGGAGACCCTATAGGCAGCCCTATAGGGAACACTGCAAGGAACACTATACTTCCTATAAGGGGCCCTATAGGAAGCCCTATAGGCGACCCCTTAGGAGGCCCTATAGCAGCCCTTATAGGAATACCAAAGAAACCCAGTAAACAAAGAGAACCAGCTGAGAGAACCAACAAAGAGAACCAACAAAGAGAACCAACAAAGAGAACCAACAAAGAGAACCAACAAAGAGAACCAACAAAGAGAACCAACAAAGAGAACCA